CGCAGCCGCTGAGGACCAGAACTCAACTGGTCCTCGTTGACGCCCCAACTGGTTGCCGATCTGGGACCAGCGATTTGTGACTAGCTGGCTGAAACCCTCATGTTCGAACCAAGCTGTCTCAAAGAAGAATCTATGACTACGACGCACGTTGTCCTCCCCTGAGGACAAAATCAGCGGGACGTGATCGGATCCTATGCGCGTTTCCGCCACTAAAGTACAGAGAGGAAACAGCGCCTCCCAGTCACTAGTGCAAAAGACACGGTCCAGGACACATCTGATTGGCTCACGTTGCTTGTTAGTCCAAGTGTATCTGGCCCCAGTACGCGCGATCTCCCGAAGGGCAGCGTACGCAATGGCATTATTGAACATGGACACCCTAGCCCAGTCAATATTGTTGTTGCTTTTGTCCGCCCCCGAGCGGATCAAGTTGAAATCACCTCCTACCACCACTGGTAGGTTGAACGATTGTTTGGCCCCCACCATAGCTGTGATTTCATCCAAGAAAATAGCGGACCTCGCGTGATCCGCCGGCCCATAAACACTCGCGATCACCCAAGAAGCTTGGGAGACCCGGTGACGGATAGTGGCAGCTATATAGAACGTGCCGCCCTCCCACGATATAACCTCACACACATCCTTGTTGCAACCCATCAGTTGACCCCCAGAGAGGCCGACAGACGGGATCCAGAACCAATCAAAACGCTGGAGCGGATCATACGCCAAAAGGTCTCTAAAGGAGAAATCGGCTTTAATAGTCTCCTGGAGCGCCACAAAGTCAATGAGTTCTTTGGACATGTACTCGCGGAGCTGCGTGCGACGCCCCACGTGCCCGCATCCGCGGATATTCCAGAATAAATAACGCATTAGATAATCCTGTTACGCAAGCGGACTCCACGGGAGGAGACCGCCTTGGCCACACGCTTCCTAGCCGGCTTTCGACTGGAAGAAGGCAAGACCAAGGCCGCCTCGGCCTCAGCTCCCTCCATGGGCATGTCGACAACATCAGCCCCTACTGATGCTGCGTCCGTGGCTTCGACCGCCTGAGCAGCCGCACACCTGGCAGCTGCTTCCGCGAGGGCAGCCTGGGCCTCTTCGCGCGCACGCAATAAAGAAATCAAATCCAGAGACGAGGAGTCTAGCGCTACGCCACTATCATGCAGAATCTCGGCGAGATGCTCATCAGAGAAAGCATTCAAAATCTTAAAGGAGGGGAGGAGGTTACCTGTCGTGTCCATGTTCTTGTCAGCAGCGCGAAGCTTTGCACTTTCCAGAGAGGTCATGTCTCCGAGCTTGGCCTTGGCGCGAGCGCTAGGAGCCCGAGACGACACCGGAGTTGCCCTAGTACGCTTGGCCTTGACTGCCGGCCCTGACGCCACCAGAGCCGCGCCCAAATCGCCTCCTAGCGCCGAAACCGACCCCGCAACCTCCGAGACCACCGTCTTGCTCCCCGCCTTCCTCCCCGCAGTCTTCTTGGCCTGTCGGCCAGAGCCACTCGACAGGCGCCTGTCAGAGGCCGGAGTTGGGTCCGAGTCCATGAGGACGCATTCCAGCCCCGAGCCCTCCCCCCCCTCGGGGTGGGGAGCCCGGCATGGCCCCGTACCCCCTTGCCACAAGAGGGAGAGGCGCACATGGAGCTGTCAGGCTGGAGCCCAGGACCTCGAAAGACGGATCCAGAGAGCGGGCGAGGGGGGGAAGGCTGACAGCCGTGTCTTGAGTCGCGATCACACCCAGTTTTTCCCATGTCTCGGTGTCGATAGAAGTGTCTTGGATGCTGTCTTCGGGGTCGTCCGCCATCTCGCCCATCACCACATCTTGGCCCCCCACCTTCGCGCCGGAGCCGGCTGCCTCCTTCTGAGACGCCCCCGTCCCAGGTATGGGCGCCCCAATGGCAGCTGCCTTGGGGGCTTTGCCCGCGGAAGGCCCTTGCTTGCTAGGGTCGCCCTTTCCCTGCTGGCTGTCTGGCGGGGGAGCGGATGGGCCCGCCCCCGAGGCTCCACCGCCCTCACCCAACCTTCTGGGCATCCGTTCTAGCTCCACCTTGATCTGATATCCTTCGTGATTAAACCAGACCTCCACCGTGCCATTCAGCTTAGCCGGCGACTTGCAAGCCAATTTCATCCTCACCGGACCCAACTTAATGAGGGAGAGTTCATCAACCAGAATGGGTCGGCCCAGCATCTTAAAGGCCTCCTTGATGCGCTCAATCTTGCGATGCTTCTCAGGAATCCCATGGAGCCGCACCCAAGCTTCTGGCATCACCATTGGTGGAAGCACCTCATGGACCACATCCCGCACCCTAGCAGTGATGTCGTTAATGGAGAGGAAGAGTTTGCCACTGGTCCGGGCCATGTGAAGAAGGTCCGCGGAGGGAAACACCACCATGAAATCGTCTTCGCCTACTTGCGTGACTTGCCAGTCCCAGTCCCCCGTGACCATGTGCTTGAGCTCCTGAATGAGAACCCGCAGGTTGAGGCTGCCTGGCTCCGCGGAAAGGATTGCCGCGTTTCCAACCGAGGGGAGCCGAGGGCCCTCCAGCTCTTCCTCCTCTTCAAACTGCAAGCAGAAAAAGCCCTCCCCTGAAATTGCACTGCCCATAATCTGTAGGCTAGGCTGCCGACCCCTCGTCGGGCAATGAGCGGAAGCATGTCCCTCCTCCTTGCAGAGCACACACAAAGGCTGGAATTTGCATTTGGACTGGAAATGACCAAGCCTCCCGCACTTGAAACATTCCACTTCCATAACCTCCGACCCGTCCTCCACCGGAATGGGCTCGCCCACGGTGCCCTTCGCGCCCGGGGGGAGGGACACAGCCAAGGGATCGGACGATGCCCGGGCCTTCTTGGCCAGCGGATCTCCGTGGCCACCACCATATCTGGGGAGATCCGCGGGCTTGCGTTCCAGCTCCCGACGCCGAGCCATCTCCTTCTTCTTCTTCCTTCTTTCCTGCTGCTGGATCCACCATGGGGGAGGGGGACCCCACTCCCCCTCGCGCCCCTCCGGCTCATAGCTCCTCTCAAATCTGCCACCATTCCTAGCTCGCTGCTCCTTCTTCGCCTTTTCCCGCAGCTCGCGCTCCCGGCGCCGCTCCCCATCTGAGATCGGGGCTCCATAGGCCTCTTCTCCGCGCGCCGCCCGTTCATCACCACCGCCGCAAAAGAAATGGAGAGAGGGGGGGGGGTGGGGAAATGAGTTGGATGGATCTGGCACGGCGAGCCCAGCGCCGCACCTCCGATCTAGAAGCAGGAAACCCTAGCGAGGGGTCAAGGCAGCCGCGGCGCACCCATAAATATGAGCCGGGGTTGGGCCAAGGCCGAGGCAGGCCCGCCATGGGCTGGACGGGACCCACCGGCCCACTGATCGCCAGGCCTCCCTTCCCCCGGGACTCGCTATCTCCTCCAGAGCGCGGCCCTTCACCGCCTGCCGAACCTGATTCCTGGGCTGGCCCGCGACCCCGCTGGCCCACCTCGGCCCCGGGCCCGACGCTGCCAACCCTAGGCCTCGGAGACGCCGCGCCACCCTCCGCAGCCTGCGGCGCCGCCGCCTCCGCCTCCGCCGCCCGTCCGGCCCCCGCCGACGACGTAAGGCACGGCCACTCCACCTCCGAGTCCACCGGAGCGAGAAGCGTCGCCGCCGTCCTAACACGGATGTCCCTCGCGGCACCCCCAGAGGACGGCGAGCCCCTGCCCGCCGACGTGGAGGGTCGCCAAGCTCTGATCTCGACTGCGCGCGAGCCCCGGCCTCCCGGAGCGAAGCGGCGACGCGCTCTCACGACTCCGGGCCCCGACGTAAGCGCACAGGCCACAAAGTCGCCGAGTGACGGCCTCGTCGGCGCCAGGAACCCCTCCCTAGTCACCGGATCCGAGTCCTCCTCGACCTCCGACTCGTCCGCAGCCAGCGCCCAAAACCGACCGCCTACCGGAGCCAGCACCGCGCCATCCCTCACGGTCTGCCCCGTCCCCGCCGGAGAGGGCCAAGCGCCGCGCCTGACCACCTCCCAGCCCCCTGAGGCCGAGGCCGGAGGCGACCGAGGCGGGGAGCGCAGTCCGTCGCCTTGGGAAGCGCCCAACGGTCCGCTCATTTCAAAATCCCTTCGCATGAAGTTCTCTAAGTCTGTCCCCGCTTGATGTTTATATACGCAAGCAAATACTAGCACTTTGACTCTTTAAGTTAAGTACTCCCTCCATCTCATAATTAAGTACTCCATCCCATAATCCCCCATAATCCATAATGTAAGTACTCCCTCCGTCCCATAATTAAGTACTCCGTTCCATAATACAAAAGCGTTTTTTATACTAGTGTAATGTCAAAAACACTTGTATTATGAGATGGAGGAAGTAGTACCCAAGCTAAATAAAACCGGGGTTTGAATCAACATTACAATTACATGTGTTGAGATCAACTAGATGACCACCCAAAGAGTAGCTAGCTAGCACGCTTTCAGGTCTTGGGATGGAAATAGGAATTCGTTTGCAATTTGTGGCCGGAGTGATGGTGTGAAATTTTTGGGGGGAGAAATCTTGTGATAAGTTTTCGTGTGTAGTGCGGGTAGATTCGAAGCAATGGCAGGGGCCTCTTTGCAAAATGCCGAGTGCTGACCGGGTCGGCACCCACGCGTCCACATGGTACTCTTTCATTGGTCATAACTAAATTTGCACATCTGATGCAAGTTTTGGAACTGGGTAAAGTCAAAATGCAAGCTCTAGGACCAAACCATCACATTGAGAGCAAGTTGTAGAATTCCTGGTGCTTTTAACTCCAATTGTAAGATGAGACCATGCATGCACCAATCTCAGAGTGATTCTATGCTGGATGCTGCACCGGTAGGTACCGGCTCCGGTAAAAAGAGCTTTGCGGCAAGTCACCCTCTGCAGAGGATCCCGTTCCGCCTCTGCTGCCGGACGCCACAACAGCGAGTCTGCCAAACTATTGATCCGGTGAGCCTCCGAATGGCCCACCTCCTCCTCCGTCGTAGCCTCAGCTATTCCACCTCCGCCGCCGACATGGTCGTCTCCTCCATCCGCCTCCTCTCCGCTACGAACCCCACCAAATCAGCACCAACCCCCACTCCCCTTCACCCCGTTTGCCACAATCCCGATCCTGTAGCAGCTCATCCCCCTCCTCCTCCTCCCACTACCACCCTCCTGTCCCTGGCGGACCGCCTCCGCGGGGTCTTCCTCCAGAAACCCCCCGGCCGCGCCGCCCTCCACCGAGCCCTCTCCTCCACGGGGCTCGACGCCCTCTCCCCGGAGGTTCTCTCCGATGTGGTCAGCCGCGGCAACCTCAGCGGTTCCGCCACCGTCGGCCTCTTCGACTGGGCCATCTCCAGCGCCAAGCTCCCCCCTTCCGTGCAGACCTGCAACATCGTCATCAGGGCTCTGGGCAGGAGGAAGTTCTTCACCTTCGTCGAGCCTGCCGTGGAGGTAATGCGGAAAAACGGCATCTTGCCGGACCTAATCACGCTGCAGATCATCATGGATACCCTGGTTGCCGCCAGGCAGGTCAACAAGGCCGTCCAACTGCTCCAGAGCGACCAACTGGGGATAGGAATCGAGCAAACTTGCCACAGAAAGGAGGCCTTCTCTGCTCTCATCGAATGTCTCTGCCGGAGGTCACATGTTGGGGTCGCTAGCTCGCTGATACAAGCCGCCCATGGACAACCTTTCGTTCTTGATAAGCAAGTGTACAATGACGTGCTTGGCGGCTGGGCTAGGTTTGGGAGGGTTGATAAGCTGGAGCATTTCTGGGCAATGATGCTGGAAGATGGGCTAGTGCCGGATGATGTTTCGCATTGCCATCTCATCGAGGCACTGGGGAGGGCAGGCCGAGGAGGCACTCAGGGTGTTTGAGAAAATGGTTCAAGAGGGATATGGTCCAAGTACAATGGCCTACAATGCACTGGTTTTCAATTTTATCTCACTGTGTGATTTGGACAGGTCCATCAGTTATTACAAGGATATGGTGGAAAATAATTGTCCTCCAAACAGTGACACATACTGCAAGATGATTGGAGCCCTTTTGAAAACGCGCAGGGTGGCTGATGCACTTCAAATGTTTGATGAAATGTTGGCTCAAGGAGTTCTGCCAGATACAGGCGTAATTACATCATTCATCGAGCCGCTTTGCACGTTTGGCCCCCCTCACGCTGCTCTGATGATCTACCAAAAGAGTAGGAAGGCTGGTTGTACAATATCCCTGAAAGCATATAAGCTTCTGCTTGAAAGGCTTGCCAGGTTTGGGAAAAGCGGGACAGTGTTAAAGATTTGGGAGGAGATGCAAGAGAGCGGGTATCCTTCCGATAAAGAAATCTACGAGTTTATTGTAAATGGGCTTTGCAATGTGGGTAAGGTTGATGCTGCTGTTTCCGTGGTGGAGGAATCACTTAGGAAAGGCTTCTGTCTAGGGAGAGTTGTGTATAGCAAACTGAACAACAGGCTGCTGGAGATGGACAAAGTGGAGACTGCTTACAATTTGTCAAAGAAAATCAAACATGGACGCACACTTGCTAATTCACGCAACTATTGTCGTGCTAACGGTTGGCACTTGTGATGAACATACTTTGTTGGCACACAACTATTTGGTATGCTCATTAGTTCCATACGAGTTCAAAAGTACCCTCATTTGCATTCTGCAAAAAAAAAAATTGGCAAGGTAAAACCATTGATTACGAGTCGAGGGACTAGTCGAGACTAGTCGCTAGACTAGTCTATGAGTCGCATTCTGGGTGTCGACTAGAAATCTCGTGTAGACTAGTTCGCCGAGTCGAGGAGTCGAAGGACTAGTCGTAGACTAGACTAGACTAGTCGTGCACCTTGAGTCGTTCGACTCAATTTTTTTTTAGGGATTGGGAGGGGATAAGTGAGCCAGCCACCCTGCCCCTTTCCCTTCATTGCTTCTGCTCTCCATGGATCTGCACTCCTCTGCTCTGGCCCTCTCCCTCCACTGCTTCTGCTCTCCCTAGATCTGTCCCTACGGTCTCCCTCCCTCTGCTGCCTTCTGGCTACTGGATCCGCTCGTCCCTCAGGTTGCAGTAAGCAAGCAAGCATACTAGCAAAGTAATTTCTCCCTTCTCTTCTTCCCTTCTTCGATTCGATTTTTACCCCCTGCCCTCTTCCTTATTTCGTTTTGTTTGCTTCAGTTTCAAGATCCTTAGGTCTGAAGTGCAATGTCTACGCCGGAAATATCTCAAGTATTGTTTCAGCAGCTGCAGCTCAGGCCAATGAGCAATATGATCCATGGAAGGATCCTGCAAGAAGCCAACTAGGAGCAAGGCCCAACATGGAAATATGCTTACTGGCCTAATCTGCAGGACAAATTGGCGCTCCAATGCACTTCCTATAGTATATACTATTACATATTAATACTAGGTTTTGGTAATTGACTACTGCAGTTGTGAACTACAGTACCATGTCGACTAGTCCAGCAGTAGTCTAGACTAGTCACGATTAGTCTATGAGTCTCAACCTTCGAACGACTCATCGACTCGTCGACTCGTAAACGTTGGGTAAAACTCAAGTTTGGCTGGTGAAAGGTATAAGAGTTTGTACTTATTCTTGACTGCCCATGTTTCTGACCTGTTTGGCTATTTCATGGATACCATGTTATGGGGTTATTCTGACTAAATCTTCCCTGATGAGTAGTGGATTAAGTAGCAGAAAGCTACATCAAACAATGAGACAAAGTAATCAAATAGGTAGAATAGAATGGATAGACATGTACTCTTTTCTTGTGTACTTCTTCTGCTATGGAGAACTACAAACAGCAGATGGAATCTGAAGTTTCAGAACTTGGGTTCCTCAGGGAAATGCAGAGAAACTATATTTAAAAAATCCCTTGGGTCTCAAGTATCAGAACTTGGGTCCCTTTGGGAGTCGCAGAGAAAGTAGCCTGATGTATCCTTGAATAACTGGACTTCCAAGTTACAGAAGAACAGTAATACTTGAAAGTTGAACCGGCAGGTCGACCTTCAACTGAACTTGTTATACATGGCAAATGGGCACATTCTACCTGGAGTGGAACATCACATCTGCAAAATTCTATGTGATGCCAGTTATCCTGTTGCTGACTGCTTTTATTCAGTTGTTGTGGGTTTTATTTATGGTTTGTATTCATTCATGATTTTGTTTATTAGTTGCAAATTTCCATAGCGTTTTTCTCATTGTATAGATGGCTTTGATGTTACTCTTTGTTCTGCACGGTGTAAAATTTTCAGTTTATTTTTGTAGGTTCTGTAACTACCTATGCCATTATCTTCACACGATGTAGGCTGTTGATTTTTCATGAAGATGCAATCATGGATTCAGGAGATAATTGCCCAGAACCGTTGCTATCAGGTATGAGGACTGATATATCACGTGAGGTCAAAGAAGAGAACTGGTTGAACAATTACACGAGAAGAAATGAAAAGACAGAACACCTTATTATAGAAATGATGAAATCCGTGGGGCTTGCAACCATGGAATGCAATCCCATACGACAAATCTCCTCCGTGGCTTGTCAGGTGCTATTTTCGAGCAAGGTATGAGCAGATACTGCGTTTGAACATGATTGCTAGCAAAGAATAGAGGATGAAATGTACGTTCAGTCATTGTTTCTTCCATGATTGCTAGCCTCAGGTATATGAACTGAATTCTAGCAGTTATTCCTCTTAGTTTTGTGCATTTTTGTTAGTTAAAATCTGAGTTTTGCAGCTCGGACAAGTGTTAAATAAGCTATGGTCAACCTGTATAATGTAGTTGACCGTGTCTGTTATCTTCTGATGATATTTGACAGCTTATGGATAGAAATGCATGTTCCAGTTTTTATAGCTATTAACACTTGCAAGTTAGTGCACTGCTAGCTGAATTCTGGTTAGTAAGTCTGTGTCCACCCCCTGCTTAAATTTGGTTGTGTTTGGTTGGGATTGAGACAGGTTTAGTTGCACTGCAACTGTATTGCATATTTGATTTGCCTATCCGTTTTTTTTTTCTGAAGTTGATCTGGTAAGTTTCAGATGTTCAATGATGCGCTAGGAAAAAATTGGATGTAGAATGGCTCCTGAGGTCCCACTTGATTTTTTTTCTTCATGTATCTATGTTCAGATTTGGTTAGCGTGTCATCTTTGGTATCTACTTGGAAGGCAATTATCCATGGATTACGATTCAGCATTTAACAATCTTTTCTTAACATCTGTACCAAAGACTATACTTATGTTTGTAAAATGAACACTTGGATAATTGGGTTTCTTGAATGCTTGTTTTACCAATATCGGAATTTTATTCCTTGCTTGGGTTTCTTGAGTTTGTAGTGTTGTTAGTAAGGTGGTCGTGGCCATGTTGAGCATTGCTTAGTTCTGACACCTCTTGTATGAGAAGGAACTTGCCCTGTTGTCCCTTCCATGAGCAGATTAACAACCCTCTGAGCTCTTGTTTATCATTTATCTGATGATCCTGGTCTGCTGCTACTTCCATTTTCTTGTGGTGTTGTTTCTGTCCATCTTTAAGATGGCCATAAGTTTGGCCAACAGTGGATAATGCATTCATGCACGTGTCTGTTTTCTTATTGCAGTATAGATTTTGAGATAGAAACATCATTGTCCTTCTTTCATGTGTTTGTATGCTACTTATTTCATGCTACTTGTGAGAGAGATTGAAGAACAAACAAGTTGTTTATTTTCCTGAAAGCCCTTGCAACTATTGTGTATATCTGAAAAATGTGGTTCATTTTCAATTCTTATGCACTGGACGGAGGCACGTGAAGAAGATTCAGCTCTTTCCAGTTCTTTTACTTGTCCAAGTTTTGCTAGGATGCTACTGATTTGATGCGAGAGCTAAGAAGAATCGACGATACACAAACCTGAAGTGTCGATGAAATAACCTCTGCTGTTTCGAGAGATATTGTTGTCCTCGAGATATTTATGTCTCGCCAGTTTATTTAGATGAAGCTATCATGTTACCTCGTGCATTTCGATCATTTTGTTTCAGAGACGTGAGGACATTTAGCTGGAAATAATCTACATATACTGTCAAAGCCATGCCATGTGAATTACTTTTGAACGAATTTATTTTTATCAAATTATGTAACCTATGCTTGTCATATGCAAGGCAATTTATTCTGACCAATCTATTCTGTGATGCCTTGTGATATTTCGTTATGGAAAAGATGTGGGGTAATGTTGCCAGAAAGTTCTGAACTTGATGGATATCTCCAGCAAGTTCTTTGTGTCATATGTAACTGTGGAGTATGTACCTTCTCTGTGTTCTTGTTGCTCATGTAGAGCAGGCTCCCAAACAAGAATATACAGGCAAGTTATGTTGAAAAATCATGACATCATTTGAGTTAAACAGAAAACTAAGTCCCGTCCTGAATCCTCTGCAGCTTATTCCAAGCTGCCAGCAAAAAATGTCGTCTGCGGCAAAATGTTGGCTGCTTGGGACACTGGAACAAGTTCTTCATGCTGCTTAAACCCTGAAAAGAAGCTATTGTTACATTATTAACCTTTTATAGAGCTCAGCATGCACAGGGGGTTGATGCATGCTTACATGATATCTGTAGGTAATATTTACAGGCACACTTTATTTGAGCAAATGGTAGCACATCATAACTGTAACTATAAAAACAGCAAATAATCTGAAGACGTGCGAAAATGCTGAAAATACAGGCATGCTAGGTTTGTACTGCCAAAGTCATGAGGATAGCTAAATCACAACCTATAACATATACATTTTCTGCAACTCTCATTAGAAAGTCGATGATCATGCCATCGCATATAAATGCCCGGACCAATAGCATGGTCACTTAGTCAGTGACAACACAAGATCATGAAAGCAGGTACTCTACTTAAGTAAAGCTGGTGGCACTTATAGTTTGCCAGTTCATCACAAAGAGGCTGTAAATAGTTAACTTGATTTATTTTATGCCTTGCCAACCGATCACTGCTACAAATCGGGTAGCAAACGGAAATGTATATTAAACCTTGTGTTTAGAACCTGTTGAGGAGCTAGTTTCATTTGCATTTTCTACACTAGCTAGGATGGAAACACCCACCGCCCAGCATGTAGACAAAATTGTACTCCTACTGTAAATGACTGACGAAGGTTCACATAACAATAGATTCTCCTCTACTTTTTGGAGGGAAAGCAGTCATGGCAGCTTTATTGATTCTCAAATATAGTTTCATTACATCAGCTACTAGATTGCAGAAGCAATATAGTCCAGGGGATCTCCTGTCCAGAATCCAGACACAAGTCTGGTATCCCTCGACATTGGCAGCTAACGAACGGGCTACAGTATTACTCTCTATGACAGTGCACGAGGCAGTCCCCCTTCCATGCAGTCAGACACTCTGAATTGGTGCATTGTGTACACCCAATTTGGCCATCCATCCTTGCTTCTGCAGTAGCTCGATGCATCACGTGTGGTTTACAAAGAGCAGCTAGCGAGCGAGAACATCCTTGAGCGCCCTTGCTTGAGCGACTCTAGCTCTCGACGATGGCGGGCATGCTCCTGACGTCGTCCATGGCGACGCGTACGGTTCGGAGGGGGTCGTCGCGGGGGAAGTTGCCGTTGTA